AATGCTTCCTTCATTTGGTATGGATTGAAACTATATATAACACACTCAGAAAACAGGAGCGAAAAGAAGCAGATCACAAAAATTCCATCAGGGACTTAGATGGAATGATGTTAAAGAAACATTTGCAATCTTTCCTTTGCTCTAATGGAGACCCCTGACTAAACAGAGATGTGTGTTTATGAAGCTTAATTTGAATTTACCTGACATGCAGTGACATTAAGTGACAGGTCATTTTATACACAGGGGGTTTCTGCATCTTTAACGATTTTATAATCGATACATTCTTAGGATTGGATGTGTATTTACAGTTTTATTCCTATACTAAGTTTTAAACTCATTTCCATTTCTTGTAGAGGTATCTGTTTTGTCATCATTGACTATATAGGTCAATTTCCAGTTGCAACATACAAAGTAATAAAAATCCCTTTGTAACAAAATAGACACCCAGGCGTCTTTTTTTTTCCTCAATAATTTTATAAAGTCTTAAAATACAGCCCTCTCTCTACTCCTCCCAATTCTTGGTATTAATAATAGAATTTGATCCATGTAACCCAAGTGGATTTTTCATTAGCAGGTGTGAAAACCACTCCCCAGCTGTCAACCAATTTAGAATGTGGTAGGGCGCAGCCTTGTCTCATTTGCAGATTAATCTTGTGTCAATGAAAGATGATACCTCCTTAGTTACCAGCACCTAAAACGGGCCATGCCCACAGCAAGGCCTCCGATTGTTCTTCAAGGATAATGGGACAAGAGAGACAGAACACAGAAAAATAGGTCAATGATATATGCAAGCTTAGAAGATGAGGCAGTGCTGTGATTCATTGGCATAATTAATATTTCTATCTAAACTGCTGAACTGTGTAGACTTTTACCACTAGCTTGCCTCTGTAGCGATTAACACGGCTGACTCATTTTCATAGTGCCAGCTTGCCCAGCGACCTGTTGTTAGGTAGCTAAATAGAGCCCTGTTCAGCTCTGGGAAGTCAGACAATAATATTAAACCCTTACACTGGTTTAACGTTTTCCAGTTTGTAAAGGTGCTTTGAACATACAGTCTCCTAGCACTGGAAGGCAAGCAATAAAAGCAGTTCTATCATCTCCATTTCTGTCTATGGCCATACCACCCTGAACATGCCTGATCTCATCTATTCCTTTTTTTTTTTTTTTTGAGACAGTCTCACTCCTTCGCCCAGGCTGGAGTACAGTGGCCTGATCTTGGCTAACTGCAATGTCCACCTTCCACGTTCAAGTGATTCTCTTTCCTCAGCCTCCTGAGTAGCTGGGACTACAGAGGCCTGCCAGCCACCATGCCCAGCTTACTTTTTTTTTTTTTTTTTTTGGTATTTTTTGTAGAGATGGGGTTTCATCACGTTGGCCAGGCTGGTCTCAAACTCCTGACCTCAGGTGATCTGCCCACCTCAGCCTCCCAAAGTGCTGGGATCACAGGCATGAGCCACTGCACCCCACCACATTTTTAAGATGAAGGGAAAGGTGTAGAGTTTGGGGTCTCCCCATTGTCGAGCCAGCCACAGTGGAGCGGGCTTGAACTGGGGGCTGCATCTCATCAACCCCAAAGTCTTGGTTCTTCCCACTGAGCTGTGACTAGGCAGTCACTGGGTCTCTTCCCTGTTCTTTCCTCAACTTATTTTTTTCTCCCAACACCTAGGGGTTTTGGGATACCCATATAGTTATAGGAGATCCCTAAAGTTGCCTGGCAGGTTGTCTAGTTTAAAGTAACAAAAGGCAGCACCTTCAGATGTGTTTTGGGTTACTGAGCTAGTGTAGTATTAGTACTCTCAGCCCATCTTAAACAAAGACAGAGTAATGCGATATAACAAAGCTTCCACCTCTGTGAACAAAGAAAAAGTAAGAGAAACACTGCTGACATGGACTCTGAAATTAAGGAGCTCATTCACATTGTCTTTAATACTCATGAGGGTTGTTTAATGAGCTCCCTGGCTTTGAGGATGTCCGGGAAGGATCACGTTTGCTCATTCTTTGAGGAAGGGAATAACAGGTTTTTCTATCCAAGACAAGTCTCACTGAAGCAGATCTTGTCAAGATTCCTAAGGACAGAAAATGTTGGAAGGAAGAAAAATTCCATGGCTTTAAACTTTTAGACAAGAGTGGATTTGCTTAACTGGCTTGACTTCAGTGGAAGTAAATGAGAGAAGTTACGGATAATACTTTTTCAGACTGGCTTCAGGTAATGTTCTAGTGAGGAGAAATGCATTTCCAGTGGTCATAAGGATTTGGAAGATCTCCAGGGAGGCTGAGAGAAGTCTTGAACACATTCCAACAAAGGAATTATAGTGTTCAGGAGTTCACATGCATTTTAAGTGCCGTAGTCACCCCAGGATCATGTTAATACAAACTCAAAAAGTACGAATACTCCCAACCTTCTGAAACCCCAAGTAAAAAGCATCATACCCTTTCTTGAAATTAATGATGCTACTGAGATTAACAGATCAGATTTCATTTCCTCAAAGCAAATTGGTTTATCCCATTTGTTCATTCATTCAACAAATATTTATGGAGTGCTTGAGAATATGGACATTGATGATTCAGTGTTAACAAGACCCTAACTCCTCAGCAGCTTCAACTCAAGTGGGAAAATTCATATTTAAACTATTAATGGAGACTTATACTTCCAGTCCCAATGGAGTAGCAGGGACCAGATTTACTCTCCTGTCAAGACATAACCAAAGCAGAGAAACGGGAACAAGACAGAACACCATGGCTTTCAAAACTCTGAACTTCAGGCAATGAAAGACAGTGATCCTGAGAGACAGAAAATAAGGTGAGGCCTATGACTACCTTCCCTACTGCCTTGAAAGACTTTCCATGCTGTGCAGGGAAGGACAACCCATGCAGAACCCAGTGGGTTCTGGAGTTCAAAAACAGAACTGAGGGCTTGGGGATACCAAGGCAGCTAACCTTGGAGGACAGAGCTCCAGAGAAAGAGAGAGGAGGAGAGTTCCAGAAAGACAGAGAGACCCTCTTCTAGAACCATCTGAAAAAATTAGAGGGGGCCAGGTGCAGTGGCTCATGCAGATAATCCCAGCAGCTTGGGAGGCTGAGGTGGGCGGATCACCTGAGGCCAGGAGTTTGAGACCAGCCTGGCCAACACGGCAAAAACACATCTCTAATAAAAATACAAAAAATTAGCCAAGTGGGTGGTGCACACCTGTAATCCCAGGTACTCGGGAGGCTGAGGCAGGAGAATCACTTAAACCTGGGAGGTGGAGGTTGCAATGAGCTGAGATCACATCACTGCACTCCAGCCTGAGCGTCAGAAAAAAACTATTTCAAGAAAACACACACACACACACACACACACACACACAGAGAGAGAGAGAGAGAGAGAGAGAGAGAGAGAGAGAGAAGTCCTCAGTACGCACACAGGGAACTCTGTGAGTTCAATCAGCCAGGCTGGAAAGCTCATAATTCATAAGACATGGTAGAGCACTCAGGAAAACCAGCACTGGGGAATAATTTGCCCTAGACTGAGCACGGCTTCAGACCTGCCTAACAAATTACAAAGCAAGATCCATAAGGATCGAACTATTTCCATGTCGCTGGACTGCATCCCTAAACAAAGCTACAGAGTGTATTTAAGAATGCATATCTAACGCCGGGCGCGGTGGCTCAAGCCTGTAATCCCAGCACTTTGGGAGGCCGAGGCGGGTGGATCACGAGGTCGAGAGATCGAGACCATCCTGGTCAACACGGTGAAACCCCGTCTCTACTCGAAGTACAAAAAATTAGCTGGGCATGGTGGTGCGTGCCTGTAATCCCAGCTACTGAGGAGGCTGAGGCAGGAGAATTGCCTGAACCCAGGAGGCGGAGGTTGCGGTGAGCCGAGATCGCGCCATTGCACTCCAGCCTGGGTAACAAGAGCGAAACTCTGTCTCA